ACACAGACACACAAGCACACAGACACACAAGCACACAGACACACAAACGCACACAGACACACAAGCACACAGACACACAAGCACACAGACACACAGACGCACACAAACACACAAGCACACAGACACACAAGCACACAGACACACAAGTACACAGACACACAGACGCACACAGACACACAAGCACACAGACACACAAGCACACAGACACACAAGCACACAGACACACAAATGCACACAGACACGCACAAGCACACAGACACAAGCACACAGACACACAAGCACACAGACACAAGCACACAGACACACAGACACACAGACACACAGACACACAGACACGCAAGCACAGACAGAGGGTGGGCTCCTTTTGCGCCCTGAACCCCTTGTTCACACTGTCCCTGAGGCTCTGTGGCCAGGCTGCATCCTGGGTGCCCAGGCCCTCAGGGAGCAGAACCCTGCAGCCGAGACGGGAGGCGTGGTCAGTCCTGCTGGGCAGCAGTGTGGGCACAGGCTTTCTGGGGCCCACGGAAGGGCTGCTCAGAGCTGGGGACACTGCACACCCTCTCGGAGCGGACTTCTCTGGGCCACGGGGCTCAGGGTGACAGTGGGCTGAGTGTCGGGTGTCCTGCGTGGTCCGCTGGCCAGCCCCCCACGGCGCAGAGCCCACCTCAGCCCCCTCCTCCAGCTCTGCCTCCTCCTTCCATTTGTCCTGGAGCAGCCCTGGAGATCTGTGTTGTGACCAGCCCCTGCAGGGCCACCCACCAGGGCTCCTGATGACATGAGTTGACCCCAGCCTCGCCCGGGCAGGGAGCCACAGCCCCAGGGGCTGAGAGGACACCCAGGAGTGAGGAAGATGCTCCTGGGGCTGCAGGCCGGCCGCAGGCGCAGGCAGATGGCGGCCCCTCGCTGGCTCCACTTCACCAGCCTGTGCCCTGGTGGCTCGGGGGCTGGAGGGGCAGCCGGTGCCCAGCAGGGCAGGACCTTCACCCTCCAGTGCCTGCTCCCCTCCAGGGGCGCTGGGACCTGCGTCCCGGGTGGGGGCAGCCCCAGGGCCAGGACGGGTGTGCAGGGGCACTTCTGCAGGGCCCAGCCAAGGGGAGGCTCGGGCTGCCCCTGCCTGCCGCCCGGTGCGTGTGCGAGACGTGCCCAGGTGCCCAAGAGACGCACGCACCACGCGTGGGGAGTGTCCCTCGGCGTGGCCACACTGGGGTGCCTATTTTTACCCCTTTCTCTCCTTCCCTGTTTTTGGTGGGGATGAGCCCAGGGCTTCCTGCATGCCACATTGGTGGCTCCTTTCTAACTTGGCCCCTCCCCGTTGTGCCCAATCCTGTCCTGCCCCACCCTAAACCCTCCAAGTCACCTCCCAGGCACTGCCATAGCTCTGATGCCTCCCCGGGGCGGGGGACTGTGGGGGGAGGGAGGCTCAGCCTTCATACCCAGAGCTGGAGGCACCCCAAGGGATGCCAGGGCGGGGGCAGGGTCCGGGCAGGGTCCTCAGCCACCCTGGCCCCGGGACCCTCCCTGTTGCTCCCCTAGAGTGGAGCGTTCTCCCTGGACCACGGTGCACAACCCCAAAATGAGGAGTCCTCTCCCCTCCTGCTACTGTTGCCCCTGAATTTAAAAGTGACTTGCCATGGGGCGGGTGGTTCCGTCCTTGGAGAGGGAGGCAGCAGAGGAAGAGAGCGTGTGGCTCAGGCCCTGCGGGAGGAGGCCAGGGTCTCTGCCTGCTGCCCCATCCCTGCCCCAGGGGACCCCGCTCCTCCCCGCAGGTGGTGCCAGCCTCTGGGAGGAGCGGGGTCAGGCCACCAGTCTCTCTGCCCGCAGTTCACAGCCCCATCACAAGGTTAAGGAGTTCAAAGTCACATTCCTTATCAGGATTCAAGACTGAGTGAGGACGAGTGGCCCTTGGCGTCCGTTCTTATCACTGCACAAACACCGAGACTTTATGAGCCTTTATGAGCCCCACCGCTCTTTTATTAGGGCCTGCGTTGGCTTCTTGGCTTTAGCACTCACCTGTGACGTCTGCACAAATGACGATAAGCTCTTCAATGCCAATTCGTTTACTGAAGCACTAAGCATGGGTTTTTTTTTCTTTTCCTTGCAATGGCATTGTTCATACCCAGAGAATGTGGCCTGATGAAATGCTCTGATTATGCAACAGTGTTGCACAGCAAGGGTGCTGCAGTCAGGACCCAGCTTGGAAGGCAGCCCGGGGCGAAACCCACAAAGGCCAACTTATAAGTACTGGTAAGAAAGATGTAAAGGATAACACCCTTCGTATATAAAGAGTTCTCAGGAAAAAATAAGAAAAGGATTTACCCTTCTGGGAACATCTTTTGATTTTGCCCACTCAAAGAAGACTGTGACTCCTTTGTTTGGTCCCACCTCCTGGGAACTACCTCCTTCCTACCTGTAGTTCAGGTAATCAGGGTGACTGACCTACACTTGACCTCCAGTGGATAAAGGTAATACCCTTGGCGGAAAGAGGGCTTCCCTAAGATGCTTTCTGGAACAAGGGAAGGCCTCTCTCTGCAGGCTAGGAGCTGGGTAGACGCTGGCCACCAGTCTTTGTCCACTGTGCACTGCTGTAACACAAGGCCACAGACTGGGCCCTCTATGACGAACATAAGTTTACTGTCTTGGAACTCCAAGATGCATCTGTGGAGGGCTTTCTTGGGTATTATCCCATGGCGGAGGGCTGAAGGGTGAGAGGGAGAGGGGGAAGCGCCCGGGAGCATGGCGTGGGTCCACTCCTACCCAGACAGAGCCCAGCCGTCCCCCCCAAGCCCTGGCATCAAGCTCACCTGCAAACGGGGAGCCGCCTTGGAATACACAGTACCGTGCTGTGCGGGGAGGTGGGGCCGAGGGCGTGGGCCGAGGCGGAGGACATGGAGAAGCCAGACGCGGGTCCCCATCTAGCTCAGCGGGCTCCGTTCCATTAGGTCAGCGCTAGCTTTCCTTGACACTTGAGCCTTTCCCAGTAGGCGAGTAAGACCGACTTGACAAGCCGCCCTCGGAGACGGGGGGTGACCCAGGGCCAAGCCACCTCGGGGAGGAGGCTCACACCTGGACGGTAGTGGACACGCACGGCCCAGACGGATCCCCATCTCCCCAGAGAGGTTCAGTCCCCACACAGAACCTGGGAGTGGGACTTGATGTGGAAACAGGACACTCACAGGTGTCACCCACTAGGGTGACATCACACTGAGGGGGCTGGACCCCCAAGGGACACAGGGTGAGGACAGCCCTGTGGGGTGGAGGCAGAGACTGGGTGAGGGTCCTGAGGTGGCGGGAAGGCCCTCCCCTGAGTGTCACAGCCTTGTCCAGGCCCCCGGCACGAGGGGACCGTCCCTGACATTTGAACCCAGCTCCTGGTTCTTTGTTATGGCAGCCTGGGAAACAAGTGCAGATGATACTTTTTGCTTCTGAATTCAGCAAAAATTTGTTGAATAACAATTCTGAAGTGGTAAGGTCTGCAGGGTCCCCCGCAGGGCAGCCCGGATCTCAGCTTGGAGACAACGCGTCCCCTTTCAGTTGATGACTGCGGTTTAAATGCTTCATCCAGGGAGAGGTTTCATGTTGGATGCAAGGAATCTGGAAAGGTTACGATGACGTTGTTTACACACTGTGCAGAAACGGCGGACATCTAACAGTGGAAATCTTAAATATTGGCCACGACGAAACTGAGACACTGAAAACAACGTCTTGGGTGACACACTACACTCCAAGGAGTTCTTTCCACATAAATAGAAAAGCAGACTGCTCACAGAGGTCACGATCCTAATGTATTCTTAAAGGCCGTGGCACACATTAGTGTGACTAAAAATGCACTAAAATATCAGTCATTTTGATTATCCGAGTGATAAGATCACAAACGATCTTAATTTTGTGGAAGATCATTTCTTATATAGTGTATTTTTATAATAATCCTATGTTCAGTGGGGGGTGGGGCGGGGGGCTGACCTGCAACTCTTGGGCTGGGGACCCTCCCACCTGGACGAGGCCAGCACACCCGCTTCAGTTTTATCATGGGGGGAAGTCTTAAAGCTGCAGACCTGATGTGCACCAAGCTTGGTTGGAAACTGACGTTGAGAAAACCACCTTTGAGAAACCAGGATGCCATAATAACGCTCGACCAAGACCAGCTACCTTCGTGTGGGTTTGAGTAATAAAGTGATTGAAATCTGGCAGCCAAGGTCTAATGACGGGGCATGGTGTTTCTAAGTGACCGCCAAGCGGCCAAACAAACACTGGCGCTTCTCAACCCTCTTGGGCCGGCGTGGTGGGACCCAAGCCCGCCACCTCCCCTTGCAGGACCTCGGGCTGCTTCGGTCTGTGGCCCCGGCCTGTCCTCTCTTTCTCCCCGGGACCTGTGAGTGCTCTGGTCAGGAAGGACAGGGACACAGATGATCACCCAGGCCCAGGGAGGCCGAGTGGCTTCCCCAGACACCAGGGTCAAGGACAAAGTCAGGACAGGACCTGGGACTTGCCGGCCTCCCCCTGCTCAGGCCTGGGGAATGACACGTGGGGAGGCTCCCTCCCTGGAGATGCAGTCCCCGTTCCACTGTCCAGGGACACGAGTGTCACTGGCTGCCTCTGACATCACCTCCAGATCTGCATGGCTGGCTCTGCACACCTCCCTGCCTCTCTGCACACCTCCCTGCCTCTCTGCACACCTCCCGCCTCCCTCCAGCTCACGAGCCTTCCAGACTGAGGCTGGGTTCTGGGGTTCACTCTCCACCCTGCCTGACCCCCCCCACCTCCCTGGGCAGCCTGGGGTGCCTGGCGAGCTCCCTGGGGTCTCTCTGGAAGGCCAGCTTTGCCTGCCCAGGGACCACCTTCCCTGTGGCCATGGATACTGCCCTTGGGCTGCAGGACACGCCCAGGGAAGTTCAGGTCCTCCCCAGGTCCTGCAGCGCCAGCGTCGGCTCTGGACTGTCCTGTCTGCACCGCCGCAGGGACCCTGGAAGCCCAGCTTTCCCCCGGGGGACCTGGGGCCGTGGCCCTGGACAACTGCTCTGTGACCTTGATGGGGCTTTCAATAGCTGCCATCTCTCAAGGCACAGTGACACGACCCCACTGTGGCCCTCCGGCTCCTGCTCACTGCCACCACGGTCACCTGCCCCACACGTGGGGGACCCCCCAGGGGCTCTCAAGTCTCTGGATCTGATGCAGCCACCAAGGACCTCTGAGGGCCAGAGCCTGGCTGCCCAGGCATGGCGCAGGGACACCTGCCCCTCCAGGCCGGGTCCAGCAGCCCCCACGACCCACGACCCCACCCCTTGTGGAGGGAGGAACACTGTCCAGGCAGGTCCCCCAGCCTACCCCTGTGGCATCCGCTGAGAGCCCTGACAGGGTGCTCCAGTGACAGTCACCCCAAGAGTCAGGGTGCATCAGCTCCTGGGGGTTGGGTCCCCAGAGAGGCCTCAAAGCAGCCTTGACCACAGAGTCTCGACCAGCGTCCACCACAGGGTGGTGAGGGTGCAGGCACAGGTCTGGGAGAGGGGTGTGGCAGGCAGTTCGGGGCCTACCTGGACGGCGTGCATCAGCACAGGAGTGTGACCCTGGTTTCAGGTGTGATTAGGAACAGGAGCAGGTGAGGAGGTCTGCCGTGCCCTGGGCTCCTGGGCCCTCCTGCGCGGGGTGTGCAGCCGCTGTGCGGGCCCGGGCCTGGAGGAGCAGCCGCACCCTGGTCCAGGGCGCCTGCCTCCTCATCCAGCCTCTCCAGCTGCTGCCCACTGTGCCCAGGGCCTCTGTCAGGGCCCACAGGGGCAGGGGTGGCCGAGGGCAGGGCCTCCACTCTGTGGCGTGTGAGGAGCCGGGAGACCTCGCTTGGGGTGGAGGAGAGGGTGCTGCGCATGGGAGAGCTGAGGTGTGGGCTCCGGTGCTGAGCCGGGCCTGAGGCCGCCACCCTGGGCCAGCATGGCCGACGAGCCTTCTTCACGGGGCTGGCCTCAGGGCCTGGCCATCTCTGGTCTCTGAGTTGGGGCCGAGGCCTGCCAGGGGGTCACTGGCACTTGTTTCTGGTGGGACCTGGGGCCTGGTTAGCCACTCTAAAAGCACAAAGCACCCAGCAGAGACTGAGCCCTGCAAAGGCCGAGGGCACACCGTCCAGGGGACTAAGCACACCCACATCAGGGAGCCTCCACCGCGGCCACCCTCCTCCAGGACAGGGCATCTTTCCAGACTCCACCCACTGACCACTACCTCCCACCTCCCCGTCCAGCCCGACACCCACCAGGCTGCTTTCCGCCTCGACAAACGCGACTGCTCTACGGTTTAGATCTTAAATGTCCGCCCGAAGTCTATGTGTGCAGGGCTGGTCCTCAGTGCAGAGGTTTGGGTGGACTTCAGAGGGCACTGGGTCAGGAGGGCTGTGACCTCACAGTGGACTACCCATTCATGGATTCTTAGCCCAAGTGGACACCGGGAGGGGCGGAAACGCAAGGCCGCGTCGGAGGAACTGGGCTGCGGGGCATCCCTGATGGAGAGTTGAGTGCCCAGCCTGCTCCTCTTCCTCCCTCTCTCTGCTGCCCGGCTGCCAGGAGGCCGCAGCTCTGCTTCCCCAGGGCCCAGGGCACTGCCCACCCCCCAGCTCTCCCCAGAGCCCCTCACCCCAGGAGTGGGGAGGTCTCGTCTTCCTACCCACCCTTCTGCCCTCCACCCAAGGTCAGGGCGCTGATGGATGACCAAGCTGAGCAGGCCAGGGCCACGGCCCAGCCCTCAGTGGACCCCGAGAGCAGGCACCTTCCACGTGAGCCCCACAGAGCCCTGTCCTGCACCTGTGAGGACCCCACAGTGGGGGCCAGCCTCAGGGGACGTGTGTCCTGGACCAGTGTGCCCCTGTGTGTCTGCCCCCCGTTTCTTGACTGTTTTGGGGGGTGGGGGTAGGAGAACATCTGGTCCAGAAAGGACTCACAGGGACCACCAGGCCTGGGGGTCAGTGCAGAGGGGGTAAGGTCCAGGAGGACAGGGTCTCAGCCCAATTCTGAGGGGACGGGCCCCATGGGAGTCCCAGGGAGGAGGGTGGGGTGGGAAGTTCTGGGGGAAGGAGGCGCGTGTGGCAGCCTGGTCTGAGACCCCTACCTTGGGGACATCCTCACTGCGTAAGTCACAGGCATGCATTGGGCATTCCCTTGGCGCACAGGAGGCTGGAGGAGGGGACCCTGGAGCAGGGCAGATGGGGAACAGGGGACCGTTCAGTTCCCACCCCCCTCTTCCCCCCACCCCATTGTGTCCTGAGGTCCCGGCCTCTGGCCTGCTCTGCTGCCCCGGCCTCTGGCCTGCTCTGCTGCCCCTTCCCCTGGACTCTGAGCCTGGCGTCCCTGCCCGGGGAGTGCCTATCACACAGCCCTTCGGGTGGACCACCCTGAGCTCCAGCCCCTGCGGGGGTCTCAGCCTGAACCCTCCCTGACCACCGCTAAGATTGCCTGTCCTGGGCCTTGGCCTCTGCCTGCCCGCCCTGCTGGGTGCTGGTCAGGCTGAGTGGCGTCTCCCTGACGCTCACGTCCATTGGAAAGTCGGAAAGTGACATCGTTTGAAATTGGGTCTTTGAAGAGGAAATTGTTAAATGAAGCTGAGGTTGACTGGATCAGGGCGGACCCAGCTCCATACTGCTGTCCTAGTGAAAGGCCCCGTGAAGCCACAGGCACAGTCCATGTCCTGGGCAGACGGAAGCCAGCGGGGGCAGAGTGGCTCCAGAAACACCCAGGAGCGCCAGGAGCCCGAGGGGGAGGAGAGGTGCCGGAGGCCCTTCCCCTGAGCCTGCATCACCGTGAGCTCTGGCTGCCGGCCTCGGGAACTGAGAGCGGCTGCGTCTGCAGGGCCGAGCCCTGGCTGGAGTCCGGGGGTCTCCGGAGGACGCTGGGGTCCCTCTGTGAGAAGGAAGGGGGAGGCCCGCACCCAGGGCCTTCGCTGTCTTTCAGTGCCTGGCCGCCCTCTGGGTTCTATGGAGGGTCCCATCACCTGTGTCTCCCGGGGCGTGTCCTCCCTGCCCTCTGGTTCCCAGGGCAGTCTGCAGGGGCTCCCTCTCCGCAGCCCTGACCCCTGTGCCGGTCCTGAGAAACGGAAGCCCAGGTGGGATGGGGCGCTGAGGCTGCTGAGGCCGCAATCCTGCTGCCCAGGTCGTGGACCTTGCTGGCTGATTTCCCGTCTGTGGCTGACTTGTGAGAAGGTCTGGAAGCTTCCGGGTCTCCAGGTGACCAGGACTCCTAGCCCTGAGGAAGGGGTGCTGCACTTCCTTCTGGGCCTGCTGGTCCTGAGAGGCTCAGTCCAGCTCCACTCTCACCTTGAGCTCAGCAGTTTGGGATGCGCCGTGTGCTCCAGGGGCAGTGCACCCCCGCTCCCCACCGTGTTTGCTCTTTCAGGGGCCACAGAGGCAGTGCCGGCCTGGCAGGGTTTCCTGGTCTCTGCCTGACACCACCCACGTCCCCTGCCTGTGCTGGTCAGGGGCTGCCCCGCCACACCTG